GGAACAGGATTTGAACTCAGGTTTTCCTGATTCCAACTTGGACACTCTATCCCTTGTACCACTTACCTGCCTAGTAATGCTGTTCAATTTTGTTAATTCAGTCTGTGAATATGAATGGTTTTGAATTCTAGCATTAAATAAATAAGTTACAGAGTGGCTCAAAAAGATAAGCCAACATCATTACATTATTTACAGGAAACACATTTAATGCAAACAAAAATGCCTGGGCATCTAGTTGGTACATTGGCTAGAACCCTGGGCTTGGAATCAGGGAAACCTGGTTTCAGTTCCTGCCCCACACAATCACCAGCTGTGACCTTGGGAAAGTCAATTGGTATCTCTCAGCCTCGGTATTCTCTGTAACATGAAGTTGTACATACCTAAAAGTTCTTTCCAGCTCTGAATCTAATCTTCTAATCTCGATTAAATTGGACATTGCTAGGTTTTCTCTCCACTGTGAATCACTGGATGTTGAATAACATTTTAATTGTTTGAGAAAGCTTATTGACATTTGTTATACTTCTATGAATTCTCTACAGTATGAATCTTCTTGCCTAGTTACTTTGGAGAGAGTTTCTGGTGAGTCAGCTTTCAGTTGACAGATGAGATTGGAAGCCAGATTGCAAAGTGTTAAAGAATGAATGACAGGAGAGCAAGTGGATGCAGTAAGTGCAGACAACATTTTAAAGGAATTTGAGAAAAGGTGGAGAGATATAGAACAATTGTGATGTCAGAGTCAAGTGAAGTTTTTTAAGTATTGTGGAAACTTGGGTATGTTTGAAGGCAGTAGGGAAGGACCCAGTTGATACAGAGAGGTTGAAGTTTCAAGAGAGGAGGTGATTGAGGATACAATCTGCTGGAAAAGATAGGAGGGGGTGGGAGTATATGTGTAGGGAGTTGGTCTTGGCAAAGAGAAGGGTACGTCTTTGTCAGAGACTGAGGGAGAGGAGGAGATAGTGCAAAATAATGTTAAGGAGTTGAAGATGAAGAGAATTGGAAAGGGGGAGTCTATGTTAAATGGTTCACTTTTTTTTTAAACTAAAAGGCAAATTCCTTGACTGAGACAATGAGGTAGGGAAAGTTATGGGGAATCTTAAGGACAGGAAAAAGGGTTAGGAAGACCTTCTATGGGTAGTGATAACCAATCATTTTGGGAGGAATGAAAGGATTGCTTTGCTGTAGTGAGGGCCCAGTTGAGGTTGGGGAATAGACACCAAAGTCACACGTACTCGATCCCCTCCCCCCCCAAATTCAGTACACTCTAGTGGCTCCCTGTTACTTTAGGATTAAGTATAGTCCTCTTATTGGCATTTAAAGATCCTTATAACCTGGCCCTTCTGCCTTCCTCCTCTCCATGCATTCTCTGATTGAGCACCAGTGGCCTTCTTGCTGCTCCTTGAATGTGACACTCCATCTGTTTTTCATGCCCAGTGTTCCCTCCTCACTTCTGCTTCCATCTCCTTCTTTTAAGACTCAGCTCAAAGTCCACCTGCCTAGATCTTCTTTGGTTGTCCCAGAAGCTCATGCCTTTGCTTAGAAGTGTTTGTATTTGTACCTGTGCCGTATTTACTCTGTGTTTATAGAAAGATAATATACTCATATATAACATGTCTTCATTAAATGTAAGTTCAATGAGGTATTAGGAATAGCTTTATTTTTTGTTTCCTCAGCTTTTATGTACCCAGCATATAATAAATGCTTGGTGATTGATTGGCCACTGGCTAATGAGCTATTAGGTCATGGCAGCCCGTGAAGAGAAAGAAAATTTTAAAATGGACTTCAGTTCTATTAGCCCTCTTCTGTGTGTGTGTGCGTGTGTGTGTTTTGGCAAGGCAGTTGGGGTTAAGTGATTTGTGTAGGGTCACACAGCTAGTGTCAAGTGTCTGAGGCTGGATTTGAACTCAGGACCTCCTGACTCGAAGACTGGAGTTCTATCTACTTCACCACCTAGCTGTCCCCCTCTTCTGCTTTTGAAGTGGCAGAATATTGTAAAAGAAGTCAAAGAGTGCTAAAAGTCAGTTTTTGGTGACTCTTCACACATTAACTTAGCTGTCAGTGATTAGAGTTTTTGTCCTGAACCAAATGTAATTCTAAAACTGAATCTTATAGGTCTTGACATTCTTGCTAAGAATCAGAAGAGAAAACAAAAGGAATCTCCTGCTTCATGGAAGGGTGGCTCATAGGTTCTTCTTGAAAGGACACATAAAAGAGTTGGAGTTGATTCATTGTGCATCTCAAGGGAACAAGAAACATGATCTCTTGGGACATTTGGTCATTTCACATTTCAGTGCTTATTACCAGAAATTGTTAAAAAACAACAAAAATCTCCTAAATCTATGAAAATAATTGTAGTTTATGTTATAAATCTATTGCAGGTGGTGAACAGAAAGAAACTTTATAAACAAGTTGATAAAACCCCTGAAATTAAATTGACATATACTTTGGTAATTGTCAAATTCAGTGCAAATGTAGACATAAAGGAAAATGTAGAAAAATGTGTGTGTGTGTGTGTGTGTGTGTATGAGTATGTATATGTATGTGTGTGAGAAATATGGTTCAAGAACGAGGGATGAGAGGGGCCAAAGTCTTAGACTACTCTGAAGCCTGATGCCAAACTTTCGTGAATACCTTCTTAAGGAGAAGAATTGGGTGGTGCTGACATGGTAAGCACCAGATTAACATCATAAAAAATGAAATTGGTTTTATTTAACAAATGGAAAATGACTAGTTAGTGATATGAAAGTTATTACTGAATTGCTATTTGTTTATAGTCAAATCATCAACTTGTTAGAATAAGTATCATAATATAAAACTAGAATGAAAAATGAGAAAAAAAATGGGATGTGATTAAATTTATTACAACCTAACTTTTTGAACAAGTCACTGATGCCAAAAAATGAGAAGTGGGTAGAAGAATGAACATTTTTGTACACAATAGACAATTTGTACATTTAACCAATGTAAATCATATGCCATAGTGAAAAAACTGACTTGAGCCTAAAAAGCCCTTCTTAGTGGCCACTTGATCTTCTTTCTAAGAGGAAAAATATGGCAGTCAAGGGTGACTGGTTTAGAACATAAAAGGGAAGGAAGACAGCAGATGGATGGAAAATAGGAAAGGTTCTCCAAAAATTTTTTTTAAAACAAACTGCATTTAGCATTAGAGTTGGACCATCACATTTGGACTCTCCCTCATAGTATCTCTCTGTCCTGGATGTGCTTCTTGAGGAAGTTCAAATGCTGCTGAAGAAAACACATATGGGAAAAGGAGTTGGTCCTAATAAAATATATGCATATGCATGTGTGTGTATAAATGTGTGTATGTGTATGCATATATATTATACAGATATATAGAAATATAGATATAAAATATAAATACAGTATATGCATATGCTTTTGTCTGTATGTGTGTGTGTGTGTGTATATGTGTATATAATACAGAGGAGATTCATGCTGCAGGCAGCACATTTTGAATGCATTTAGGAATCATTTATCTATGTCTCTGAAGGGGAGAGGAAGATAGCAGAAGCATGGAAAAAAATCTCAGACTGTATTATTTCTCTAAAAAGGTGAGAAGATGTATAATTACTAACTCCTATGACTACTTTTGTGGGTATATTCTCATAAAAAATTTAAAATCTCTACATGCATCTTTTATGAGGATATTAGAAACGAACAGGCAGTTTTTCACTAACAGTCTTCCTCAGTACAGTAGACCGCATTTACTATAACACAATTGACTAGAAGGTGTTGAGAATATAAGAACACACTGTGCTGATTGTTTCTGTATTATAAAGTAGCATCTTCATGTGTGTAACAAAATATCTGACTTTAAAGTGGCTTCTGTTGAAATGCTACAAGTTTCCTTGGCAGATAGAATGACAGAATCTTGAATCTTGAAACTCTTGTTATTCATATGGAGGAGGGGCATAAAACTGGGACATGTAAACTCATTCAAGGTGAGCATAACTGCCATGGACATGAAAGCTAGTATAGCAACCAAGTTGAAGAGAGATTCCTTTTAGGTGGTAAGGTATTCCAGGTGTTTGTGTACTTATATGATATTCTGATTGCATCAAGGCCTCGAATATTGTAGTCTTCTTAACAAGTTCCATGATCACTGAAGATTTTGAGAACTATTTGTATTTAAAAAAATGAGTGATTGTTCAGAGAGTTTTTCATATGATGATATGTAGTTGGATGGATAATCAGTGTGTATATGTGTATGGGTATGTATCGATATCTTGGACATACATTGCAAATAGATAATTATCGAGCCCAGACTTTGATAAGAAAAGGTTGGACAAGGTTGCTTTTGGGTACATTTTTCATTTTTTTTTTTAATAATCCCATTCTCCTTAAAACAATGGCCTACCTTTTTAACAGTTATATTAATCTTGTAATGTCATATGGCTACAAATTACATGAAACTACAATCTCTGAAGAATTGAAGTTGAGGATCACCCAAGGGGGCAATGAAGTGTGAACAAGTCACAACAGGTTCACTGAACGATAATCATCAAGACCAAAAGCCTCAAAGCAGGATTCATGCCTAGGGATTACTTACTGTGTATCCTTACGTGCTTAGTATAGCACTATGCATTATCTTTATAATCTACAGTCATTATTACCTGCTGTATGTGAGATACCATCATAGGCTATGCATACATGCTTAGTTTTGAGGGCTTTGAACTTGAAAAGTTACGTTTTTGTATGTTACTAGAGGTATAAAGGCCTGCAACCAAGGCTAAAACTGTATTCTAGTAGAAAAATTCAGTTCCAGAGCTACAGACTTAGTGCTGAAATGATCACTAATAATATAGTGGATTTGTTTGAGTCGGCTGGATTGAGAAGGCCAAAGTTATGTATGCTAACCTATCACCTTTGATGTCAAAACTGTATCAACATGTATGGACTTTTCCTATATAACCAGTGCTGACTTCTTTGAATGCTATCTCATATCATACTATCTGTGTACTTTTTGTATGTTAACTATGTAGCAGACAGAGCCCAGAGAGTGGGAAGACTCGGACCAAATTGACTATGGAAGAACTAAAGGCCTTTGTCCAGCAACTTTTTAGCCTTCCATGTGTTATCAGCCAGGCTCGACAAGTCAAGGTGGAGTATTTTTTTTTTTAATAACTAATTTATTTTTAGTTTTTGACATTCACTTCCATAAGATTTTGAATTTAAAATTTTCTCCTCCTATCTCTCTCCCCACTTCCAGATGGCATACAATCTGATATAGGCTTTACTTATACATTCATATTAAGCATTTTTTCCCATTAGTCATGTTGTAAAGAATAATTAGAACTGATGGAGGAACCACAAGAATGAAGCAATAAAACAAAACAACAAAGGAAAAGGAGAGCAAATAATATGCTTCCATCTGCATTCAGACTCCATCGTTTTTTCTCTGAATTTGGATAGTCTTTTCCATCATGAGTCTTTTGGAGTTGTCTTAGATCGTTGCATTGCTGAGAAGCGCCAAGTCTATCAAAGTCAATCATCACACAGTGTGGTTGTTACTATGTACAGTGTTCTCCTAGTTCCGCTCATTTCACTCAACATCAGTTCATATAAGTCTTTCCAGATTTTTCTGAAGTGCCCCTGCTCGTCATTTCTTATAGCACAATGGTATTCCATTACATTCATATACGACAACTTGTTCAGCCGTTACCCAAGTGATGGACATCCCCTCAATTTCCAATTCTTGGCCACCACAATAAGAGCTGCTATAAATATTTTTGTACATGTGGGTCCTTTTCCCATTTTTATGATCTTTTTGGGATACACACCTAGAAGTGGTATTTCTGGGTCGAAGGGTAGGCACAATTTTATAGCTCTTTGGGCATAGTTCCAAATTGTTCTCCAGAATGGTTGGATCAGTTCATAATGGAGTATTTTATTTCTTATGGGACATTGCCATACTACTTTTGGGGAAACTATCAGAACTACCCTAAACAAACTCAGGGTAGTTTAGCCCCAGTGGTTTGCCACCTCTCAGATATTTCCTTTTTGTTTCATTGAGTAATATAATGTTAGAGCTGGAAGGGCTCTTAGGAGGTCATCTTGTTTATCCACCGTATTTTAAAGATAGGGAAAAAATAAGCTTATTGCTCTGCTTGTTCCTTTCTTCATAAAATTGCTGCTATTTGAGATCCTGAAATGAAAACTGTTGGGAAGACGCTGTTGTGTGTTTTATTAATTGCTGTTACTCCCTCCCTTTTAATTTCAGAGTACCAAGAATTAGTTTGAATTATATTATTTCCCCCATAACAGTGTAAGGCATATCACTGCTTTCTTTTTTTTTTTTGTTTGCTTTTTTTCCCCCTCTTCTCTTCTATACTCCAGTTTCCTGTCTGCTCTTCCTCTCCCCTTTTTTCCCTTCCCCTCAGATATGAATGCCAAGTTTAATATTTGTTTATAGAGGCCCAATTTTAAATGTTATCTAATACATATACTACATATATGCCGTATGTAATAAATAGTACTTAAATGTTTGAATACATTTTAAACAAGTGACTGGGAATCAGCCTGTTGGTTTATTGCAAGAGGCAATAATTCATCAAGTCATAGAATAAAGTATAATGATCAGTACACACAGGTATATGCCTATTAACTGTTGTGCTGTATCTTTTTGTGCCGTAGTAGAGATGATATGTAATTAAAATGCCTAGAACTGACAGTTTGGACAGTCAGTTCCCGGTTTTGTTTTAATGATTCTTATTGCAACCTAACTTTGAGTATTCGTTTTATGTTTCAGAATTTGCTGGATGATGTGGAAGAATTTCATGAACGTGCTCAAGAGGCTATGATGGATGAAACCCCAGACTCTTCCAAACTTCAGATATTGATAGACATGGGTTCTAGTCTCTATGTAGAATTACCTGAGCTGCCCCGGCTGAAGCAAGAGCTGCAACAGGCTCGATGGCTGGATGAAGTGAGGCTGACACTTTCAGATCCACAGCGTGTCACTTTGGATGTCATGAAGAAGCTAATAGACTCCGGGGTGGGGTTGGCACCTCATCATGCTGTGGAGAAAGCTATGGCTGAGCTTCAGGAGCTCCTTACAGTCTCTGAGAGATGGGAAGAGAAGGCCAAGGTTTGCTTACAGGCTAGGTAAGTTCTGCTTTTGGTGCCTGTTGCCCCTGTGATAGTCATAGGATTTACCCAAAGGTAGAATTTGGAAGGGGGAATCAGAAAGATTCACTAAACAAATAATTCCATATTGTGTCATTGAGTATGCATTAAACTCTCAGTTGGGGCTGATCTTGATGGTTTGTCAGTCAGAATTCACTGACTTTGTTTTGTGCAGGACACTATGCCAGATGCTTTGGGGGATACAAGATAATAAATAATATGGTCCCTAAGTATCCTCCAGTAGCTTGCAGTTTAGTTGAGATAAAGTACACATATAACCAACTATTATATACTGCCCTATATTTAAGTGTGAAATAGGTAATAAAGACCTATCGCTAAATATGATAAGAGTTTAGAGGTTAAAGATCACTAACTGAAGGCCTGGGGCGGGGGTAGTATTTCCTGCTTGCAGTTGAAGGAAAAAAATTAGCGATCTCCTTACATATTCTTTATCTTGTCATACTAACTTTCCCCTCCTGTTGGGTGTGGTGAAGAACATGCAAACAGAAACAAAAGGTAGATAGTTCCTTAACTATACCACTGATCCCTGGTAATGCCACTCTCCCCTTTTCTCATTCTGTGCTACTTCTTCCTTTTGCTCTGATCTTTTCCTGGCTCAGTTCAAATTTAGACCCTAGTTTCAGACTGCTTGGTCCAGACTTATTTCCTGTTTCATTGTAGGCTCAGGATATCAGGGAAGAAGCTTCAAGAGTTGGAACTTGACCTGGGCCTTGAAGGATGGGTAGAATACAGATAGGTGGAAGGGCATTCCAGGTGGGAGGAGTGATAAGAGCAAATCAATCAATAAGCATTTATTAAGCATCATCTTTTATGTAGCAGGCGCTTTGCTGGGAAAACAAAGCAAAAAAAATAAGCAGTTCTTGTCCTCGAGTTTATATTGTATCAGGAAAATATGTACGTGTTTAGCTGAGAGATAAGAATATGCAATGTATTTGAGGGACAGTGAAGGATCAGAGTGTCTGGAATGGAGGTTTTATGTTGGGAAGGGCTAACCATGTGAGAAATAAGCATTTGCATTAGAGTTATTGCTCTGGTGGAAAACTTTGGTGATTTAGGCCTATATATTGCTGCCATTAATATTAATTCAAAGTGGCTAAATAAAAATGGTTCTATATATGAGCAGAAATACAATGTATTCCCCTAAGTTAAATTTCCTATCCCTTTTAATCCTTGATAAAAAAAAAATATAGGCTAATTCAAGGACAGAATGTAAGGCTCCTACATTACCACCCAGTGATGGAGTTTTAGATGTGTTACCTTGGCCTGTCCTTTTGTTAATTATAGAATTGTAGGGATTGTGAGGTGATTTTTAGGGGTCATTTAGTTTTCTCCTTTTCCTCTAGACAGGGTCATACTTAATCCTTTGCCGGTAAATGATTATACTAAATTAAAATTATTTGGAACTTTAATATGTGCCTTCCTTGCACTGCTAAGTGATATTTTGTGGTTAATAAGATTTTGAACTTGTATGAATAAACTCCAGTGTATTTCTAATATGTTACCTTTTCTAATTATCTGTGACTCATGTCTGAAATTATCATGGATGCCTCACAAAAAAATAGATCTATTGGTTTTCTGACTTTATTTCCCTATTTTTTTCTTCTTTTAGACCTCGCCACAGCATGTCAAGCCTAGAGAGTATTGTGAATGAAGCCAAGAATATCCCAGCCTTTCTACCCAATGTTTTAGCCCTGAGAGAAGCCTTGCAAAGAGCTAGAGAATGGACGGCTAAAGTAGAAGCTATTCAAGTGAGTGCTTTGGATCAAATTGCATGATTTTTTTTTTTCTATCCTAAAAATAAATGAATATTTTGCTCTTGTCAGCTCCTTGTCTTGTTCCCCACGGCAGTTATTCCAACCTTTTTTTTATCTTTGCTCACAAACTTTTTTTTAATCTTTGCTCAAGCCTAATTGCATCTTACCCCCATACTTCAGAAGTAGCCTCCTTAGCCTCCTGTTTCACTAATTGGGAGCATCCTTCCTTCATACCTGAAAAGGATTTGTCGTTGTCATTACCCATTCTCTCTCCTAATCCAATCCAGTATACTTAAAGTGCCTACTTTGTGCCAGATACTGTGCTAAGCTGGGGATATAATTTGAAAGGAGAGAGAGAGAGAGGCACAGACATACAGACACACACACACACACACACACACACACACACAGACACACCCACACACACACACAGACACACCCACACACCCACACACACACACGCACGCCCTCAAGGCACTTAGATTTTAATGGGGGGAGACAACACACAAAAGAAGGCTAGAAAGGTGGAGGAAGATAAAAGGTAATACCAGGTTCAGGGGCATCTAGTTGGGTGGAGTTTAAACCAGGCACAACAGCAGATAGAAAGTAGAGTGAGCTTCAGAGTCCAGTTTCTCTTGAAAGGAAAGCATTGGGAGTAGTTTGGTACTTCACACTCCAGTCCTTCCTCAGAGGAGAGAGAAGGCTGAGGGAGGTAATGTTAATCAAAGCTTGAGTTAGTTGCATGGTGATGATGAGCTTAACCTGAGAGGGGCAGCTTGTTCTGTGAAGTTGGAACCAGGCAAGGCAACTGATGTAAACTTGCCTTATCTCCTTATTAAGGCTAATCTCTCTCTGCCTTCATTCTTTGTCCCATTTCTTCCTACCTCCTTCAGGGACTTGCTCCAGCAATCATCATTTCTCATGCATATTCATTCTTTCCTTTCTACTGATTTTTTCTCATTTGCTTACAAACATACCGAGGTCTAATCCTAAAAAAATAGTTTTCCCTTGATTCTTTTACCCCATATTTTTCTTATTCTTCACTACCAAACTTACTGAAAAGATTGTCTATACTGAGAGTTTCCCTTCATCACCTGCCTTCTCCTTGCCATAAGTATCAAATTAAAAAATAAAATTTTTCCTAGTTAGAACTGCTTTCTTGGAGGTTACTTAGGTGATCCTGAAGCACTCGCCAAATGACTCAGTCTTAATCTTCCTTGACTTCTTTGTAGCTTTTGATCACTATTGAAAATTCCCTCCTACTGTAACCTGTCCTCCCTTGGATTCAGAGATACCATATTCCTCTGATCCTCCTACCTCTCTAAATGCCTCTTCGGTGGTTCTTCATCTTCTTATTAATACCTGAAAGGTTCTATATTCTCCAGGGTTCTGTCCTTAGCCTTCTCTGTGTTCCTTCTTTTGGCATTCTCATTCACTTCCATAGTTTCAACTATTCTCTCTATGCACATAGTTCTAAAATCTGTATCTTTAGCCCTGACACCTTTGAGAGCCAATGTACCAATTCCAATTACCTATAGGAACATAGTCATTCTTTCTACAAACATTTATTAAGCACCACTTTGTGTAAAACATTGTGCTGAGTGCAGGAAAAAAAATTTAAATAAGACACGATCCTATGCTCTTGTAGACTTTATAGTTTACAGAAGATTAGACAAAATCATAGATAATTGTAATACAAAATGTATTATTGAAGAATCAAGTGCTTAATGAATTTTGGTGAGTGAGAGAGGTATTAGTAACTAGAGTGGTCAAGAAAGACTTCATGAAAGAGGTTACATTTCTTTTGGGCTTTTAAAGGATGGGTAGGAATTCAGAAGGCAAAGAAGGGAAATGAAAACATCAGGCATTGAGAACAGTATGAGCAAAAGTACAGAAATAGGAAGGCACAGGGAACAGGGGGTAATACAGTTTGGCTGGAATATGGTTTGTGTAGAGGGTAGCAGCATGAGAAGACTGGAAAGGTAGAGTGGTTTTCAATTGTCACGGACCCAATCTCCCTCCTAGAAGAAAAGGTAAAGGGGTTCAAGGAATGCCTCTTCATTCTCTAGGTCTTATGGAGAATGAAGTGTTTTTTTTTTTTTTAAATGGAAGAAGGGTTTCAATGTGAAAACAAAGAAGACAAAAGAATCTGAAGAAGCAGCTGGAAATTCCCACTTGTACCTGGAGATTGGAGGATGGAAGTATGTCATACAGAAGAGAAAGGAAGGAAGAAGGACCACTGAACACTTAGAGCTAAGAAGCAGATGTGTGAAGTTCTTCCTAAGGAGAAGGGAGTTGGATGCCTTGAAGAGGAAGCAGCTGCTTCTCCTCCACAGGTGCTGACGGATGAGATCACCAATCAAAAGTCAAAGTAAGAAGAGACAAGTAGTGGTGGGTGGAGACGTCTTCCTGAAGGATACGGGGCAGCTACTTTTATGGACCCAGTAACAACAGTAGAAGGTCTGATGTCTTCCAGGGGCATATATCCAAGAAATGAAAGAAAATCTTCTAATACCGAATTACTACTCATTTCTGATAATTACTGTGGGTACAAATGAAACTTCCAGAAGAAATCTGGAAAGCTAGCTAAAGATTAAAGAGTCTTGGACAAGAAACTCAAGACCTTAGGGTCTTGTTTTTTTTTTTTTTTTGCAGATGTACAAATAAATTAATCCTCCATTATTAGTATTATCATACACTCACGCCAAGATCGCATTTCCTGAAATACACATGTATTTATTTCCTTTGTTCTTGAAGAGTTCAGGTCACCAGGTCTAAGTGGATTGCATTCTAAAGAAACTGGCAGATGTGATTAGTTAGCTTTTGCCAGTGTTTTTTACAAGATTGTAAAGATGAGGAAGTGGTACTGTGGGATTAAAAGGCAAATGTTTCCTCAATTTTCAAAAGAGGAAAAATAATAGAGTCTGAAAACCATAATAATATATATAATTTTTTAGGTAGTGTTTTCATCACTGCTCCTAATTGAAGGCAGGCAACTAAGATGATGAAGAATCTTGAATCCACGTCATATGAGAATTAGTTGAATGAACTAGGCATGTTTAGCCAGGATGAGAGAAAATTCAGGGGGACTTGATAGCTGTCATCAAGTATTTTTAAGACTCGTCATTTGGAGGAGAAATCAGACCTGTGCTGATTAGCCTGAGGGGGAAGACCCAGGAGCTGGCAGAGCTGAAGTGGGTTCTGTTGAGAGGTGATAGATTTCCCCTCCTCCGAGGTCTTCCGGGTGAGGCCGGAATGGAAGACCGTTTTTGAGGGATGTTGTAGTGATATTTCTTCTGTAGTCAAGTTGGACTAGGTGACCACTAAGCTCCCTTCCCCCTCTGAGGTTCTGTGAAGGCAAGGGCTTTACAAGAGAAGAGCAGATTTGGAAAATGAAGAACTGGTAGTGAGGACGATGTTCAAGGAGGAAATTTGTATTTTTGGACTACAGTTTAAAAAGAAATGACAGGCTCTTGGCCAGGGATATAGGGCATGTAGAAGGGCTTGTAAATTTTGTTAAGAGCCTTGCGTATTTAATCAAAAGACTTTAAACAAAGAAGAGAGAAGAAAAATGTAGCTGTTCTGTGTGGTATCTAGCCCGGAGGTTTATTATATAAATCATTCTTGTCCCCACACTGCACAGCCCAGCCAAAGTGGCCTTCTTGCATTTTCTTATATACAACATTCTGTCTCCCATCTTACTGTCTTTGTACAGATTATCTCCCATGAATGCCTGGAATGTACTTCTTCCTTCTTTCTACCTCTTAGAATTCTAGTTAACTTAAAACTGACTTCTTGTATGAAGTCTTTCCTATTTTCCCTCCAGTTGCTGGTGCCAAAAAAATTACATTGTATTATTTTGAATAAATGTTGTATGTCTCCAATTTGTGTCTGAGGCACGATTTGAGTCCTGACTCTGAAGCCAGCTTTCTATCCAGTATCTCATGCTAACTTTCAGAAGCTGTATTGTGAGTGTAAAATACCATGAACTAGTAGTGTCAAACTCGGCTAGAAATAAATCTCTGCAGGCTGCATGTTGACTAAGAAAACCACAAAATATTATATACTATTTTGTATTTTTATTTGTTAAGTATTTCCCAATTACATTTTAATATGGTTCAGTTTCGTGCTGGCTACAAGTTTGGAACCTCTGTTATGGACCACTTAAATAGAACTAGGAAATAAATATATGAGTATTTCAGGAAATTCAATCTTGGCATGAGTGTATGATAGTATTAATAATGGAGGATTAATTTATTTGTACATCTGCAAAACTCTCTCTGTCAGAAGCAAAGAAGTTAATAATGACTTATATTTTGTGATAATTTCATCCTTCAAAAGCTAGTAGAATCTTCAAGGAGAAGTTCTGTTCTGAATCTGATTTTTCCAAGAAAGGGAAGAACTCGTTGCCGTGGCACAGATGATTGGAACCTTGGGAGGGAAATAACCTTCATTTTAGGATTAGTGGTGGAAGAGAGGAAAGCTGGGCAATGTCAATGCATTCTGGACTGAAAGGAAGCGGATTTCACAGTGTTCAGAGAAAGGATAGGTAGGATCCTATGTTCTAAAAGGTATAGGGGAAGATGGCACAGGAGGAATGGAAAGTTCTCAAGAATGAAATTCTGAAGACACAGAGAGAAATGATTCTGTTGAGGCATAATTGTTTGAGGAAAATTATGTGGATATTCAAGGACTAATTAAAAAAAAAGATTTCTATAGAAGATGAAAGCAAGACAAGGTAATAGAAAATGACTCAAATGTGCCATACTCCTCTAAGAATGTGTCAGGATGGCAAAAGCTAAGGAGGAGCTGCTGCTGGCAAGGAAAGCTAAGGATAACGAAAAGGGTTTTTTGTTGTTTCGCTACATAAAGAGTCTGTGAGATGATAACTGATAACAAAGAGAAGGTGTAATTGCTAAATCCTTATTTTGCTTTTGTTCTTTCTCCCAAGGAGAATAACCTTTGTAGTGGAAAACTTAGAACAAGAATGATGA